AGTCATTAAGTTTCCCGTAATGATTAGTTTGAGCCTGATAATCCTGGATAAACTGAGAAAAGTTACTATTTTGGCCAACCATATCTATAGGCCCAAAACATTTCTAGCAGTGGCTATAAGGTTTGGAACAGTGCCACAAGGTGTCCTTTCAAAACCCTGATCAAGTTTGGGGGTCCTGCAGGTTTCATTTTTCTTAATGTGTCAGGGCCTGGGAGGGTATTTGTGTACATTGGCTGCAATTGTTTCTTTCTTTCCCAGAATTTCATTGCAGACTAGTAGCCAATGTTGTTGTTCATTCGTTCAGTCGTCTCCGACTCTTCGTGACCTCATGGACCAGCCCACGCCAGAGCTCCCTGTCGGCCGTCACCACCCCCAGCTCCTTCAAGGTCAGTCCAGTCACTTCAAGGATGCCATCCATCCATCTTGCCCTTGGTCGGCCCCTCTTCCTTTTGCCTTCCACTTTCCCCAGCATAATTGTCTTCTCTAGGCTTTGCTGTCTCCTCATGATGTGGCCAAAGTACTTCAACTTTGTCTCTAGTATCCTTCCCTCCAATGAGCAGTCGGGCTTTATTTCCTGGAGGATGGACTGGTTGGATCTTCTCGCAGTCCAAGGCACTTTCAGAACTTTCCTCCAACACCACAGCTCAAAAGCATCTCTCTTCCTTCGCTCAGCCTTCCACTGCTCCACAAACCATAACTTTGAGTTAGTGAATTCATGGCAGAGATGAGATTTGAACCAGGGATATCCTCGTCTCTAGCTCAGTTATTTTTATCCCCCTCACTATTTTCCATCCAACAGACTGGGACCAAAGGCAGGTGTATGTACACACAAGAGCAACATCCGATGCAAAGCAAGGCTTCGGTATGAGGAGACCATGCTAAACTTTTCAATAAGAGGCAAAGCAGAACACCTTGCCTATTTGCATTTTGGTAAAGTACTTGATATATGATCACATTAAACAATATTACTTATACTGGCAAGAGTGTTTCATGCTCCACAGCACACATACTGCAAGATTTGAAAGAAAAGCCAAAGTTACCCGAAAAGGCAAGGTTTAGTTTTGAGGGAAATGACTTGCTGAGTCTCAGCGCCATTCTTTGGGGATTGTTTTTATGCAGCAATGACCTTGGAGAAGGAAGTTACAGAGATCTGAAGAAATGTGGAGGACACCAAATTGGGAGCCATTGTAAATGGAGAGAAGAATGGCTCACTTATGCAGAATAAATTGCATGACCTTATAAAATGGAATGAAGAAAATGTAATGAAATTTAGCAGTATACAGTATATTGTAAGGCCAGGCACATTGGGTTAAATAATAAACATTTTTGTTATCACCTGAGGACAAGTCTGAGGATTGTAAGTCTCTAACTGCCATTCACTGACAAAAAGTGTAGTGTGTAGCATGTGTGAAACAATGCTGTAATGGAGGAGGAAAGCGCCAGACACTCCGAACTATGGAGACCTGTCCTTCACTGTCAGAGACATTGTCGTCTCATGCATTGTGCTTCTCACAACACTGGTGCCACAACATTGAGATGTATTCTTATCATGCCACTTGCTGTGGTGTGTACCAAAAAATATATGGAACATCTCCCTATTGTTCACCCCATTTCGGGACTTTGATATGAAAGCAGTGAACTTGTGGACAAAGGAATGGAAATGCCTTCTTTAATTCCCCCCTTTCTACATATATATGTGTTGGGAATATAGCTCTTAGTAGAATCTTCCACCTAGTATGGGATAATGGATTCCCAGATGTACAGACCCCAAACCTTTGAAAGCTCTGCCTCATCAGAATAACAGCTAGGAGCCCCCGGTGGCACTGGACTAAAGATCGATAGGTCGAAGGTCCGAATCCGGGGAGAGCGCAGATGAACTCCCTCGATCAGCTCCAGCTCCTCATGTGGGGACATGAAAGAAGCCTCCCACAAGGATGGTAACACATCAAAACAGGGAAGTTGGGAGTTGAGAGTTGGAGCTTGCAAAGGGTATTAGTGAGAGCAGTTTGGGATTTTGAAGAAGGACTTTGGGTCAGTCTTTTGTTTAGTATTCAGGATAGCTATAGAGAAGTACAGCTAGAATACTGTGGGGAGCAGCACCCCATTAGTGGTCTGTCCTTTCCTTAAGGAAGGCTAGTTCCAGTCTTGGCTAGATTCCTAAGGGTGATTTTTGTGGGAGTTACTTTCAGGGATTCATTTCCTGAAGTAATTTTCTGTGTGGAAACTTTAAGACTTGTAACCCAGAAGTTTTTAAGACTTGTAACCCAGAAGTTTTTAAGACTTGTAACTCAGAAGTTTTTAAGATCTCTTCTCAAACATAACCACAAGCTTTGTATGCCAGATTTTTACTGAAACCATCAAGCATTTGTATCTGAAATATCAAAGTTTGTTCAATAGAAGTTCTTGTTATTTTTACCAACTTATACCAGCCTCAGTGTGAATACTTTTGTGGTAAAAGTGTTATTCAAGTCAGCTTTTTACCAGCCTCTAAGAAAACTAGACTAACACAGAGTGTGTTACTAAACAACCTCTTAATAGTACCTCAGCCTGTTCATTAGTAATATGGTGGCAGCGGAAATCCTTTTAAAGAATTCTTTTAGGTCTTACCGTTCCAGTGGTTCCCAGTTCCTAGCTTGTACATATACAGTTGGTTCAACAACTATTCTCCCTCTATATTTTTGGTGAGCTAATCTGTAGTGGTGTCATCGTTATAATTTGGTAGGCTGCTGTGTGATCGTTATATAAGATAATGTACTGCCAGTTCTTAAGTTTTCAAGTGTGAGTGTGATGAGGAGGCAGAACTGGAAACAGGACTGCTGATGATATAAGAGAGGCGATTATCCACTCTTAAAGGGATGGTCACCCATGCTTTCCCCTCTCAATGTGATGAGGTAGCTAACATTATCACCATCACCACCACCACTTTGTCTGAAGGCTACATTCCCAAATTAAAAAGAGATAATCAATGCAACTTTGTAAAATAGGATGGGGTGGAGGGGCTAACAGGGAAGGTTATTGGGAAAAGCTGGTAGAGATGGTTGCTTTTTTTTTCAAAGCCCTCAAGATTAGCTTGGAAAATTTAACCAAATTGTCCAGGGGATTTTCTTTTCAAATGAAAGATCTAACTTCTCAAATTAATTCTAGCCAGATTTGTGGGGTTTCACCCACAAATCTGTTCGGGACTGTTCAGAAACTTCAATTAGTCCGGGGGGTGGCTAGATTACTCACTGGAGCATCATACAGGGAGCATACCACCCCCCTGTTATGTCAGCTCCACTGGCTGCCGATCCAGTTCCGAGCACAATTCAAAGTGGTGGTTTTGACCTAGAAAACCCTATACGGCTCCGGCCCAGCGTACCTGTCCGAACATATCTCCTTCTACATCCCACCTCGGAGTTTAAGATCCTCTGGGGAGGCCCTGCTCTCGGCCCCACCTTTATCACAAGCGAGACTGGTGGGGATGAGGGACAGGGCCTTCTCGGTGGTGGCCCCTCGCCTGTGGAATTCACTCCCCAGAGAAATTAGGTCATCAACATCTCTCCTCTCTTTCAGAAGGAAGTTAAAAACCTGGATATGGGACCAGGCCTTTGGGTAAGCTGGCAGATGGATAAAGGGCAATGACGACCAGAGTAGGAAAGGACTATGATAATGCTGGATGGGCTATGGATTTATGAATTGGTGAACATTGACCACAATATGATTTTATTGCTGCTATTGTATTAATTTGATTGTTTTAACTAGTTAAAATTGTTGTTGTTATATTGTATTTTGTATATTGTATTGTCGAAGGCTTTCATGGCTGGAATCACTAGGTTCTTGTGGGTTTTTTCGGGCTATAGAG